ATGAGAATGTCCCAAGTTGGACACACTACAAACAGCAAAAAAAAAATATGAAGCTCTTCGGACTTCAGTGAAATCATCACTAGTAAACATGAATTAGAAGCAGACTCCAATTTGGGAGCCCTGCCATTGAGCAGTGTTTATTCAAGAAGCCATAAATTCTACTCTGGGCTCATATGACACTCCTGAGAGACATTCATGAAAGTTAAGGCTTACCAACACAGTGAGCAAACACCTGTGCATCATTTCTTTAAAAAAATAAAAGGCGAGGTATAAGAAAATAATCTTCCAGGCTATATATCCTTTTTTTTTTTTTTTTACATGTATTCATTATTGAGAGACAGAGAGAGACAGAGCATGAGCAGGGGAGGGGCAGAGAGAGAGGGAGACACAGAATCCGAAGCAGGCTCCAGGCTCATAGTGGTCAGCACAGAGCCTGACAAGGGGCTTGAACCTACGAACCGTGAGATCATGATGTGAGCTGAAGTTGGCCGCTTAACCGACTGAACCACTCAGGCACCCCCAGGCTACATATCTTAATTGAAAAGCCATGTTGGCTAAAAACCAAAAGCTCAACTAAATTTCTGATAAATTTCCTTTCCTAAGGAGCCTGTCAAATAAATAGGCAAAGATTTTTAACAACCTAGCTGAGCAATAAAATCACTAACATTTAACATAAGACCCTCTAAAATCAGTTACTTCTCTTCTACATTTAAGAAAGTGCTTCCACCTCTGAAAAAAAACCAAGAAAATGTAATTAAATAGTCCATAATAAGAAGTGAGGAAAGGAGTGCATGTTTGTAAAACTAAAAGTTACTTAAGGTTTTATTCATCTCCCTCCTAATTAATTCTTTGTTTCAAGTGACGCAGGCTTGGTAGAGAAAACGTGTACCGTGCTTTAAGTTTTATTTAGAGACAGCGACAGTGAGAGTGGGGGAGGGGTAGAGAGAGAGGCAAACAGAGAATCCCAAGCTGGCTCTGAACCACAAGCATTCCAGAGCCGGATGCGGGCCTGGAAACCATGAAACTGTGAAATCATGACCTGAGCTGAAGTCAGATGCTTAATTGACTGAGCCACCCAGGTGACCCCATGCTTCTTTAAGTTATTATTTAATACTATGAACACTCATCATTTTATCATTTTGTGATCTGAGGATGGTACTTTGTTACAGTTTCTCATTTGGAATCAGGATTAGCCCACAGAAAAAAATTATCTGAAAAACAATGAAGGGATGAAAATGACCTAAACAAATAGAAGAAATAATGAGTCCACTTTTGGTTTTTGACACTGCCCCAATAATATTTCTGTATTGTATTTCTGCAGTGCCATTTCATTGGTAAAGCACTTCTTTTTGCTCATGTTGGCTTATGATGTAGAAACAGCATGTGTTGTCCACATTTAACATTTGGGGAAGTGCAAAACCAGGGAGGTTATATGGCTTCCCCTAAGACTGGGTGTGGAGAACCACAGAGTGTGGATGAAATCCACTTGTGGCCTGTTTTTGTATGGCCCATGGGTTAAGAATAGCATTTACATTTTGCAAATAGAGCTTCCAATGAGTCTACTCATTTGTTGACACCTCTCCTATGGGTGATTTTGCACAACAGCAGAGCAGGAAAGAGACTATATAGCCCTGAAAGCCAAAAATATTTACTCTCTGGCCCTTTACAGAAAGACTGCTGACTTCTGCCCCAGACCCACAGGGGAGCCATGAATAGAGCCCAGATTTTTGGGAACGAACCACCAGTGTTGTTTCTACTCAATCTTATGCCTCTTTGTAAAGCCTGTGATTCATCCCAGGCATTTGTTTGAGGGATAAGAGGAAGTTTATGAAGCATAAATGTAGGTACTTGAAATAGAAAGAAGGCATTGAGAAGGGAGCCAGATGCAGCAAATGAAAAGGAGATAGGAGAGGAATTTGGCCCCAGCATAGACCACATCCAGAGCCTCACCTCATTTAGAGGATTTAAATGATGAGATTTGAAACCTTTTCAGTTGAGGTTGTGATTAGATTCAAGATTTTAAGTTCATGCTGGAATGGGTTCACTTTGGAGGGTATTGGAACAGGACGAATATATTTTGCATATGGGACTAACATGAATGGGGGGTGGGGCGCAGAGGGCAGACTGTACTGGGTTGAATAATATCCCCTTGAAATTCATGCAAATCCCAAACTTCTCAGAAAGCTACTTTATTCGGAAATCTTTGTAGGTGTCATCAAGTTCTGATCCTACTTGGGATGAGGGTGGGCCCTAATCCAATGACTGGTGTTCTTAGAAGAAAAGGGAAATTTGGACACAAAAAGGAGAACGCCATGAGAACAGATTCACACAGGGGAGAACCCTGTGTGAGGACAGGCAGGGACTGCCACGCCATGTTTACAAGCCCAAAGGGTTCCGAGGATATCCAGCACCGCCCAAAGCTAGGAGAGAAGCCTGAAACAAATGTTTCCTCAGAGCCTCCAGGTGGAACCAATCAATGACGACTTCAGACTTGTAGCCTCCAGAACCAGGAGAGAATGTATTTCTGTTTTAAGCCATCCTGTTTGAGGTACTTTGTTACAGCAGCCCTGGGAACCTAATGCAGATTAGTGGTCAAGGGGACACGGCCTTATGAAGAAGAATTAAGACCGAGAGAGAAAGAGGAAGTGGTCGAATGCCAAACCCCATAAAAATGTTTTTGCTTAAAACATAAACCCTTAGGGGCACCTGGGTGGCGCAGTCGGTTAAGCGTCCGACTTCAGCCAGGTCACGATCTCGCGGTCCGTGAGTTCGAGCCCCGCGTCAGGCTCTGGGCTGATGGCTTGGAGCCTGTTTCCGATTCTGTGTCTCCCTCTCTCTCTGCCCCTCCCCCGTTCATGCTCTGTCTCTCTCTGTCCCAAAAATAAATAAAAAACGTTGAAAAAATTAAAAAAAAAAACATAAACCCTTAGTACTTCTGGAAGACCTTGAGGGAAAACGACACAAAACCAAAACCCAGAGACGCTGATTTTCAACCTGATTGGGTTTTAAAAACACATGTCGCCAAGGTAAATAGAATGAACTTACACTTGAGCTTTTCCTTCCCAGTAGACCTGTTTACAAGTCCATCCCTTAAATTCCAGGCTTCCCCCCATCACCCCACTATGAACGAGAAACAAAATGCATTTTCCAACAAAGGCAAAGGGATTAACTAAAATCTTCACAAGGATGTTCCTGACTTACTTCTTTTTTGAAATAATCCTAAATTTCCACAGGTGGCCTCATTTTCCAAATCCCTGGTACAGTGGATCCTTGAACGGCATCAGAGTTGGGACATCTACCCCTAAACGGTCAAAAACGTGCCTATAACTTTTGACTTCCCCAAAACTTAACTACTAACAGACTGCTATTGACCAGAAGCCTTACTGATAACATAAGCAGTTGATGAACACATATTTTGTAGGTTAGATGTGTTATACTTTGTATTCTTACAGGAAAGAAGCTAGAGGAAATGTGAGGAAAATCATAGGAGAAAATACATTTATAGTACTGTACTGTATTTATTGAAAATATCTCCATGTATACGGACTTGCGCTGTTTAAACCTGCGTTGTTCAAGAGTCAACTGGATAAGCGATTAAAAAATAATTCTACACTTTCAATCAGATACAAAACCAGTGTATCATGGAATCATCACAGTCACCTCTAGAAGCCTCCAATGGCTCAGTGTGTAACCTCTTACACTGCTTGGCACCAGATACACTAAAGGCTAATTCTCCACCCCACCCCCACATACACACATTTTTCAGCACAACGTTCTTGAAGGTTGAAGCAAGATCCATTCCTTCATTTCTTCAAAAGTGCAAGGAAATGGTGGTAAAGACGTGAGGTTGCAGACATCATGTAAAGTCAAGTCAAAACTTGGGTGCATGCTATGTTCCTATGTAACTTGGTCACTGAGTGATAAGAATTTAGATTCATTGTTCTGAAACTCTTCGTATATCATGTATAAAATATACATGAATGTAGGTGCTACAAGTTTGTGATAAAGTTGTTGTTGGGGTCCATCCTAAAGCCTATGCAATGCTGGCATTGTAGCAGCTAAATTCTTTTTAGTAGACCCACAAAAGACTCATCTTAGAATATTCCTTTATCATGTCATGTTGTATCTTGGTATTAATTAATTTATTTATTTCATTTCATTTCATTTCATTTAAGTAGGCTTCATACCCAGTATGGAGCCCAACCTGGGCCTTGAAATCATGACCTTAGATCAAGACCTGAACTGAGATCAAGAGTTGGACACTTAACTGCCTGAGCCACCCTGGTGTCTCCCTCAGTATCAACTATTTTAAATAAACTATTTCCTCTCTATTTTCTTAATGAACTCAGATATAGTATTTGGCAATAGATTTGCATTCCAGTATACCATATACAATTTTATTTGCCTTGTCCTTCCACATTCCTGGTTATCTTATTTTCCTATGACTTTAAACATAATTATATCTTAAATAACCAGTGGTGATAGCAAAAGTAAAGCCGGCTTGAAACTAGTACTTTATGAGAGCCCATTGCTAGTTGGGACGTAAGTATCACTCTCCTCAACCATTACCTAGCTCCTAAAATAAAGAAAGAAAACCCACCAATTGCTCTCAGGGGTCTGCAGGTCATTTATGACCCTACTTCCCATGACTGGGAATTCTGGGAAAGTTGGCCATTGCAAGCCCACGATCTCCACTGTGCCAATGAAGAAATTAATGGGTTACCTTTTCTCAGCACCTGAAAAAAGCAATGTTAATGCCCACATTTCTGAATCCCAGCGCACTGGGGAGCACCACAGTACCCCCATGAGAGAACTCCTGCAGAAGACAAGACTACAGAGCTAACTAAGTTCGTCACACTCCTCTGGAGTTTGGGCCCCAGATCTTCTTTGGTCTCTGAAACCAAAGCACTCTGTAAATCTTTTTGTCAAAAGATGTACATGCTCTCTAGAGAAGGAACGCATGCCTCCACAAATAGGGCCAACACCCCTGTGGCGCTTACCTTATTCTGCTCACACACGTACTGTATCCTCAGGGTGTCCATGGCTCTGATCATGGATTGCATGGCGGTGAATATGTTTTGGTAAACTAACTTCGTGAACCCCTTCCTGTCTTCATCGCTGTAGCCAGACCCATGGATGATTCTCATTTGCTTGATAAAGGTGCTTTTGCCACTTTCACCAGTTCCTGGTAAGACAACACAAGGGGAAAATGCAGTCAGCAGTCTTCAAAAAGAACACGCTAGGAAAGAGGGGACCTCCTGGCTGTGTTGGTCTGTATCGTGATGAACAGGGTTGATTGGGTCAACTTGGAAGGGGCCTGCCAGTATCTTGCCAGTAATATGGCGTCAGTATCCTGACCCTAGGCAGAGGAGTCCCTATTCTGTACCCTGTGCTCCCACTCCTTCTCTCCCTCCCTCTCACACGTGCGAGCGCGCATGCACATGCGCGCACGCACACACACACTTAAGGGTACGTGAGTGTCTCTGTTCCTTGGAGTAATTCTAACCATCAGCTCTTATAACCAGCACTGTTTAGGCCCCAGGAAACTGCTCTCCTACATCCCTTTTCCTAAGTTCCTTCTGATAACTGGCAACTGTGTCTGAAAGCCCCAAACGTCTAAGGGTTTCACTACCGCTAACACAGCAGCAGTGGTGATGGAGGCTGCATCAGTGCGCGGGGAGGACCTCAGCAACAGGATCAAAGTCTTATTCACTCGTCAGTTCCTGCCTTTCAGATACGTGAGCACAAGTGATCCTTGCACAATCCAGCACCATCCCCGGTTGTGCCAAGTGACTGTATTCTGGCTCCTCCTCCTATTCCAACTTGTAGTTCAGGGGCTCCTCCAAACTCATAACACCTGCATTTGGCAGCAGAGGATCAGTTTACAGGATCAAACCATTCCTGCTGCTCTGAGATGTCCAGGCATAACATGTGGGACATAAGATGCCAGGACTCCACATTTTAAAAAAATTTTAAGTTTATTTATTTCAGAGAGAGAAAGTGTAAGTGTGAGGGGCAGAGAGAGAGAATCCCAAGTAGGCTCTATGCTGTGAATGGAGAGCCTGATGTGAGGCTTGAACTCACAAATTTTGAGATCATGACCAGAGCTGAAGTAGGACGATTAACCAACTCAGCCACCCAGGCACCTCAACCAGGACTCCACATTAACATTAGATTGAGATAATGCTTCACAAGACAATGACAGTTACAGTGTAAGTGATAAAGATGGATATGATGCAATGAAAATATTTTCTAACATTTTCTGTGATAATTTATTGTACCTGAAACTAATATAATGTTACGTGTCAATTATAGCTTAAAAAAAAGATAATTTCTTGTAGGAGATCCCATTACCATGTTTGGAACAAGTCATGTTATATTATACCCATGATTCATTTTCAAATCTCAGTATTGTTTTAAGAATTTTGTAACAATTCATGTCAATATGCCCCCAGCAGGGCAAAGTTTCTTCAAATTGAAGATTTATGAGAAGCTATCTCAGAACTAAAATGATTCAAGCCAAGTTGTAACTTCAAATGGGTGAGTTGTGCCGTACGCAAATTATATTTTAACAAAGCTGTTGCAAAAAAAAGAAGTTGTCTGACTCAGTATTTCTGTCAAAAGAGTGCAAATTATATGAAAACCTTAATTAAAATATACGGATTTTTCCGTAATGGCAGCAAAAAAAATTGTGGCGTCGTAAATGATTAATTATAAAATCTTTACTACTCATCCATATCTCATTGGCCCAACAGACTACCAGACAATGCAATTACAGACAAATTCATCCTCTGGAACTTTGCTAACACTTAGTCACATAAAAACCATAGTTGTACACATCTTTTTTGACATTTTAAAGACATGTTTGCCACGGTCAGAGGATAGAACATAGTGATAATAGTTTGTTAGCTTAATTATAACCTGCAACTGTTTGGACTTATGGGATGTGGGTCTCTGTGATGTCTCTGCAAACATCAGGGCAGGGCCTAGCACAAGGGCCCTGAGAAACAGAGTCGCTCAAGTTTTCCACATGGATAGTTGAGATACAACTGTGAACATTTGTTAAGATTTTTCCTTCTAAGAAAACATGTTCCTTCAGACCTTTTCAAACCCAAACCTACTCTTCTACCTCCCCACCCTCACTCAACACTCTCAGTGGCATCCCACTCTGCTCAGGAAGAAAGACAAACTTCCTCACTCTGGCCCATAAGGCTGTGCAGTCTGGCCCCTTGGGTCTTCACCACCCTCTTCGTACAACACACATTCTCTCACCCTCTGCTCTCTGACACATTGGTCTTCTTGCTGCCTTTGCTCATGCTCTGCACATTCGTCCTGCTCACCTTGGCTCTTGGCCTGGCCTCCCTAATGAGGTCAAGTTCCCCGACTGTAAGTTCTCCAGGTACCAATCATAGCATGTGCTCCAGCCACACTTGTGCTCATTAATGCCATTCTCCATTTGACATGTTTTCCCCTACCAGTCCGCACGTTCCATAAGGGAAGACAGGGGCCACCTTCCTTTTAACTCACATCATCTCCCCTTGTGCCAGGTGTTACTGTAGAGGCCACTTTTGGGCGACAGGCTTGAGCAACGGAATGTTGAACAAGGGAAGAGGGCCCACAGTGACCACTAGGCTGAATGGAGACAGACCCACCAGGTGCCCCACCTCAAAATATTCACAAGCCCTAATTGACCAATGGGCTACTTACAACCAGGCTTAGTTACCATAAAAGGGAAAATTCATACATCCCCATACCTCCTCATCTTCTCCCCTTAGAAACAGCCCCCTCCCACTGCCTCATTGCAGATGGCCTCTCCTCTGTGGTCCTGCCCACCGCTCCCCTGCAATGTATTCAATAAACTGCTATCTCCTTTGTTCTGCCTTGGCTGAATCCTTTCGCCGCCCACACCACCGGCTCCCACCTGATCGTCACCCTACATTTGGGAGTCCCCATTCAATATAGAGAGAGAAATCCCAATAATGCCTGACACTTGACACATACTTAATAGGCTTTTAAACTACTTTTTAAAATTGTGGTAAAATACACATACAGTTCACCATCTTCATTTTTTTAATATATCAAGTTTATTTATTTTGAGAGAGAGAGAGAGAGAGAGAGAGAGTGGAGGAGGGGCAGAGAGAGAGAATCCCAAGCACACTCCATGCTGCTAATGCAGCACTCTGACATGGGGCTCAAATTCACAAACTGTGACATCATGACCTGAGCCAAAGTCAAGAGTCAGATGCTTAACCAATTGAGCCACCCAGGCATCCCAGGATTTCCTTCCTTTTATTAATTTTTTAAAATGTGTTTATTTGTGAGAGAGACGGAGAGAGACAGAGTGCAAGCAGGGGCGGAGCAGAGAGAGAGGGAGACAGAATCCGAAGCAGGCTCCAGGCTCTGAGCTGTCAGTGCAGAGCCCGACATGGAGCTCAAGCTCACAAACCATGACAGAATGACCTGAGCCGAAGTCGGTCCCTTAACCGACTGAGCCACCCAGGGGCCCCAGGATTTCCTTCCTTTTAAAGGCCTGAATAATACAGCATTATTTGAGTACATGATAGTACTTAAGAGTATACCTAGTCTCAACTACCTGTAGTAACTAGACAAAGGACCCCCTATCTCTCACACAACCACCCTACAAGGTGTGTGTAATCACAGGGCTTTATTCAGTCAGACTAATGACAGACTGTATGGTCAGGGAAGAAAGTCAGGGTCATGACCAAAAGGACTTCGTTAGACTGGTCTAATGAAGACAAATCGGAAGCTCACAGCCACACTGAACTCTGAGCCCCAGCAGGACCACCATCTTGTAGACATACGGCTGGAGCACGAAGAACCTTCAGACAGGTGCATGTTCTCACAGGTAGCCTCACTGCTACCTCACTTCCACTTCCAGAGGCAGAAAGGTGGGTCAGAGATGAGCAAACTGGCTGCAAGTCAGGAAACAAGGCAAGGTGGGTGCCAGTACGGAGCTGGGCCCAGAAGCCAGGCGACAAATGCCTCAGCCTTCAGGTTCACCAAGGATACCACCTTCCCTGAACGAATTGTTTTCCCCTCCATCCCCTCAACAGTCAGGCCTGTCCCCTTAGAGCAATCTAAGCACCTGGAACACCCCAGTGGAGCACATCCCCTAATTACAGACCTCTCGCTACTTAGTCCCCTAAGGGTAAAGCTTGAGGGTCACTCATTTGGGTGCCAGGCACACTGATTACTACATAGTTGGCTGTCAAAGGATGGCTAAATAAAGGTATGAAGAGAACAAACGTGAGAAGCCACAGTTTTATTCCATAGGTTCTTATATCATGATCACATAAAAATAAGATATGAATTTTCCAGAGGATTGCAGTGACACCAGCGGCCCCTGAAGCCACCATTTCATGATTACTCCTGGCTGCCCAGATCCCATACGATAACATGAGAACCTGTTGAAGACTCTCTATTGTCTGAATTTCATCCAAAGTTCCAGATGACACAAGATCTCTGCTCTTACAGAATTCTGGGGTCCCTGAATCTTCTTTTCACTAGGACGCTGCCATGCATTCTTCTGTTCCACCCCCACAGGGTTGACCTCTGGTCCAGTGCTACCTTACCCCAAGCAAATACTAATCCTTCTGCATATTATACACCACAAAGCTGATGTGAAAGGAGAGATTACGTAACTATCTCAAGGCAGAAACTGTGATTTTGGCCCTGAGACCAGAAAAATCACTCGAGACTCAGCCCAAACTTCTACCAAGGTAAAGATCTTTTTTAGTTTTACAGGCCATTCACTTACAAGAGGTTAAAGCCAACCTCACCACTAGTCCCAAAGATAGGAACATTTTTTTTTTTTTTACAAGTCATTGCTTTTTGCTTTGGGACATGGAGCATTTCAAGAAGAAAATGTTAAAAATGATTTTTAAAGGTTAATTGAAAAAGAAGATATAAATAGTGGCACCCAGGTGGCTCAGTCGATTAAGTGTCCAACTTTGGCTCAGGTCACAATCTCACAGTTCATGAGATGGAGCCCCACATCGGGCTCTCTGCTATCAGCAAAGTGTGCTTCAGACCTGATGTACCCCCTCTCTCTTTACCCCTCCCCAGCTCAGGCTGTCTCTCAAAAACAGACATCAAAAAATATTCACAAAAAGAAGACATAAACTCATTTGATGAATACCAATACCTTAAAATATTCTTCAGTTC